GGCAAGGGCTGCCATCACGGGACCGATGTGACATTGAAACTCCACCTGTGTTCTCGCGGCTCCAGACAGTCGTACCCGGTCTCAGACTGGAGATCGTTGCAGCGCACGCACTCTTGAAGCCATGTCTCAATCCAGAACGCTGTGGCACGTTGTAGGACTTTTCACCTCGTGAACCAGGGGCCAAGCTTGTGGAGTCGGCATTCTCGGTCGTGGACGTGGCAAGACGTGGAAGCGTCGCCCCGGTTGGGCAACAGAGTTGGGGGCTGGGTTTTCTCTCTTTTGCTTGTATTTTTCTTCTTCTCTTCCTTGTTTTCTTTTCGATTTTCACTGTTCTTCGGAGAGGTCTCTAGTCTGCTAGCGGGGTTGGTACCGAGACCTCATTCAGGGGATCGCCGCTTGGCACGATCTTGGGAATGAGGGGTCTGGCGTCCTGGCCCGGGTTAGCGGTCTGCTCTGTACACACACAAACACGCGAGGCATACGCTTGGACTGGTCGACCCGGCGCGGTCACGTCCTCGTGGACAATGGATAAGGATGCTGCGGCGGCTTTATGACTGCAATGAGAAGAAAAAAAAAAAGCCTTATTCTATTCGAACTTTCTGATTCTTGGTGAAGTTACTTGTTCCTCGTAATGATGTTTGGGTATAGAATATCAAGTTGCTCATCGGCAAGCTAGCTAGGTGTATCCGGCATGGATCCTCATGGTCCAATTAAACAACGAGAGCCGCCAAAGACGTTCCCGTCGACGATCATAGCCTGGTCCATCCCTCCTAGCGCGGGAGTCCACATTCCTGAGGCTCTCTCTCCATGCAACGACGGATCAACAACCACCAGCCAACAGGGGAAGAGGAATGCGCAAACGTCGTCCACTCGCTGGTGACCTCACAGGCGGACGGTCCCGTCAGGTACGCGGCGGGAAGCTGACGTGTCTAGCACTCCTCCCCGTGGACACCGCACGCTACCCAGGCCTTTCGGTCTAGGTTGGGCCTCAGGCACAGTCCTCGCAGGCTTCCTTCACTTCGTCCTGTTTCTTCTGAAGCTGTAGCTTGCCCGGGGGCGAGACCTCTGCCTTGGCCTGCTGCCCCTTGTTCGCGCCCGCGGCGGCGATGGCGGCCTTCGCCGCGTCGTCAAAGGGGCTCTTATCGCTCGTGTCTGCGGTCTTGTTCGCGTTGGCGGGGTGCTTCTTGAGGTGGGGAATCACGTCCGCGGCGGAGGGCAGGCTGCTGCTGCTGCTGCTCTCCTGGTCTTTGGCCATCGTTGTTGAAGAAGGCTCCGCGGCGGCGGCGGCAGGAGCTTTGCTATGCTTCCGGTCGACGTGTCCGAGGTCTCTGTCCGGCTCGATGACGTCGCGTAGGCGGCGCTTCAGCTCCTTGGTCTCGGGGAAGCCGCCTTCCGTCTTGCGGTCCCAGAGGATCGTGGAGGAGGTCGTCGCGGCGCCCGGGGGTTGGTGGGTTAGGGTTACGGTGAAGGTGCCGCCTGTTGAGGGTTGGAGGGCCACTTCGCCGAGCGAGGTTGAGAATGTTGAGAGGAGCTCTTGGGCGAACTGGCGGGGGAGGGGTGGTGAGGTTAGTATGATTGTTCCGACATACGGGATGACGTTTGACGTTGAGGATGTGAGACGGGGGGCGGCCAAGAGGGGATGAGGTCATTGGGTTAGGAAATGTCAGGTAGGTAAGGTAGGACGGGCGGTTGCTTGTATTGGAGGCCCAGGGTCAGGGCAAGCGAGGTAGGTGTAGCGTGAGAAAGGCAGGTTAGGAGGACGTACATATGCCGCGCGAAGCATCCACTTACACTGGGTGCAGAACTGGATGGCTACGCGGGGCAGGGGGTATGGTGTTGCCGTTGTTGATGAGTTGACTTCAGCCATGTTGGTAGAGGCTGATGCAGAGGGGATATGAGTAGAAGTGGCGCAGATTCGGAAGTCTTGCTTGTCGTTTGCTGGTCCTCAGTTTTGGATACCTCAGTGACGGCAGTTTGCGACTAAAGTGATGCGGGCGAATCAATTTGAAGCAGAAGGGCTCCAGAATGCAACTTGGTTCAATAGAGAAACACACGTCCTAGGCAGGGAGTGAACGTCCAGCAGGGGCTTGAGTTATCGGAAACCCATAGATCGTCACCGTTCGGATGCTCGGTTCGCGCCTAGGCCAAATCAAGATGTGCAAGCAAGATGAGAAGAAAAAAGACTAAGGAACAGTCGGTTCGTCCTGCGTCATCGGGCGGCGTAGTCAACACGACGCGGGAAGCGGGGTGGGGGGAAACCCAGTCGTGCCAGTGCTCCCAGCTCTAGACCAGGACGCCACAATTTGGATGGGAGCTGTGGCCAGCAGCTCATCTGGAGGGATTGGATTGTGGCTTGCGTCCGGGCCTCAGCTGGCTGACATAGAGGGAAAAGTGGCCGACGCCGGCGGATGCGGAGACCCGGCGGAGGGTAAAATTGGGAAACACCTCAGGGAGCCAACCCCGTCAAGTGCATAATGTGCTCGGCGCTGCGACTGGCAAACACCTGGCCACCATCTGCAGGCCTGGCAGGAAACGGGCCAAATAAAAACGGCGCTTTTGGGGGGCAGTGGAGGGGGGTAAAAGCGGTGGTGGGTAAAAGCGGTGGTGGTGGTGCTTGGCTTGGGTGTGTTTGCCCACAATGGAAACCTTGTCCACCTGACAAAGCGACCGGGGTGACGGGAGTGCCATTGCAGAAGGGGGAGAGGGGGCCCCCGGGAAAGAGGAGAACAAATGTGAAGCTTGTGGCAGGAGGTGGCTACGTCGCTCCGACGCCTTGCAGGAAAGCCCGGCAGCAATTCAGGTACCGGTGGAGTCTTGCTGCAACGCAAGGTCGCGCTGCCATTGGGAACGACCTGGGACTGGATGGACAGCGCTCGCTGAGTCGTCGTCGTCGGGGGGTGCGGTTGCGGGTGCGGGTGCGGGTGCGATGAATGGTGGTCCTCCAGCGCCGCCCGCCGCAAGCACCACTAGGTACTACTGGGCAAGCAGCAAGCACACCAGCCGCGATGGAGAGAGCACGCAGCTCGGCGGGCCAAGAAGAGGAAAAGCAAATGCGCCGTACGCAGTAAAGTGCCGTTCTCTCTTCCCTAGCGTGGGTGGAGGAGACGGTCTGCGACTGGGTTCGAATAAACGGGTCTTGGTCTCTTCTTGGTCTGGCTGAGCGACGACGACAAAGCGCCTCCCGTCGTCAACCCTTTCCCGCTGAGGCCCAGAAGGCATGATGTCGCAAAAAGGGAAAGGAAGTATGAAAGATGAAATAATGGGAAGGCTGTAAAGTAATTGAATTTGATATTGATGATTGACAGGAGGGAATTAATAGTGGCAAAGGCCGTAGATTCCCCCGGCCGAGCAGGGCAAGATGAGTTGAACCAGGCCTGCTCCGATGTGACCCCTAGGGAAATGAAATGGACCTCTTACCGTCTCCATACCAGCAGGTCAGCACCAACCAGCCCTTTCCCGGCGCGTTGCTTCACTCCTCCGGCTCCTCCCCCCGTCCGGCGTCCCCCCTTCTGCCCTGCTGAGGCTCCTATCGCTGCTCCTCCTCCTGCTGCTGGCCTGGCCTCCCTCCTGCCGTTGCCCGTCCACAAGTCGCAGGTCCTGGCGAAATAAACAGCAAAAAGGGACGCTGCATATGTCTCAGATGACCCTCTGACCTGGGTTTGGTGGTTTGAAGAAAGATCTTGCACAAGAATAGAGAACACACACACACTTCCAGCCACAGCATGGTGGAAAGTCTGTGTGTACGCTTCTTCAGCGCCGCGCCGGATGGATGGCCTGATGTCTCTCGCCGTCCTTCCCATTCCCAGGCCATCGGGACCACCATCACCAACACCACCACCCCTGGACGAAGACGACACAGAGCCAACAGGACCTGTGTTGGCGCTGTGCCGTCCTCGATCAAATCTTGGTTTTGAGACTCCTCGGTCCCCCGAGAGGCCTGCGCTGATGATGGAAATCGGAAGGGACTCTGGTCACGAAAGTGGTTCAATCCAGGGCCGACCGCCCTCACCCTCACCGACCCCGGTCCGCCAATGTAGCCATTGGTTGGCCGAAATGACCTGATATGGAACCACAGCAGATGCGGGTGATTTCGTGGCTCCACGGCGCGCAACGCACATTGCGCTGTCTGTTTTGGTGGTTTGCCCTTTTGCGAGGCTGTGAAACCCTATTCCGCCCAAGAGGCTGAAGCTTGCCGTGTCAGCTTAGATGCATCGTAGACGCGAAACATTGCGACACAATTGGTATCAAGTGATACAGCAAGTTTCATGGAGACAGGGCATTGATTGATTGAAGCTATTCACACACTCGGTGCGGGAAATAGTGGGAAAAGGGGGAGCAGACAGATCCGAAGAAGGAAAAAAGAATACAGGACATCAAGAGAATTATTACATGCTGAAGAGCTGTCCGCCAATAAAAGCCTTGCCTCCCAGACAACCACCGCCTTCCTCCCCGATGATAATAGAAAAAAGAACAGCATAGAAGCATTATCGTAGCGGAGGCCATTGCCTCTCTTCTCTCATCTCGAGTCGCCTCCCCGTCTCCCTCGCACCCTCACTCGCCGTTCCCAGATATTACTGACCCGTAATTGTTGTCGTCGTCGTCCGTTGCCTTTTGACTTTTTTCTGGAATCCGTCCAAGAACAAGATATCCATCTTTTCCCTCTTGGCTGGCAAACGTCCGGGAGCCCTTTGTCGTCTTTTCCGAAATCCTGGGGAACCTTTTGTGTTTTTCGTTTCCTCATCGACTCCGCGCTAGTCTAGGACTTTTGATGGTTTCCGATGATTCCATGACCGCGATTAAAAACAAACAACATCGTCTTTTCGGTGCTTCGGGATGGGCTGCTCGCTGTTTCCGGGAGGTTTGTGCTGCATTGCCCGATGGCCTTCGGGGGTCTGGTATTCCACGCGTAAAATAAAAATGACAATACAATCGGAGCATCTCGATTGATCCGATTAAAAACGACGTCGCTACCCATGACTTCCGTTGCTTTTGTGGGTTTTTTACATCACGATACAGCATCCGCCGCTTTGTTGTGGTGCGTAGGGATCCTCGCCACGGGGGACAGCGCCCCAGACCGAAGGAACCATGTAGTCTCTCGTGCTGTTGCAGTAGGCAATGATGCTATTTGATAATTAGTGATGAATTCGCGATGGTCGCGATGGCGTGGTCATCCGGAGCCATCGACGATCAATTGGTTGAATAAAAAGACCTACCTCTTAGAAGCATTGCTAACCGGAATACGTTCCCTCTCGAGATCCTCGCGCAAGCGGTTGTTGAGTTCCGTCAATCGGCGCAGCTTGAGATCGGCCATCGACTGCTTGTTCTTCTTGATCTGCGACGGGTCGCCAACATCGCGGGAGGTGTAGGCAGGCATCGTGGTGGCGGATCGGGGGGCTGGAGACTTGGACGACGAAGGAACGGAAGACGACTCGGCGACAGCGACGGGAGCGGCGCTTGTACTGGCACTGGGAGTCGCTTTGGAAGATGAAGCGACAGCGGCAGCGGGTTGTCGTCGCGATTTGGTGTCGTCGGTACGGGGTTTGTCGTCCTGGTCCTGCCGCTGGCGAGATGTCGATGACTCGGCTGTGGCGGCGACGGCAGCAGTTGGTGAGGTAGAGGTGCTGGCGGCGGCGGTGGTGGTGGTGTTGTGAGAAGAACGTTCCTGGTGAGCGAGCATATCGTGTCAGTTTGATTAGAGTTTCCCTCCTTAGACTCCGCTTTGGCGGTGTTTGCCGCGTTTTCCCACCACCCCGTGGAACGAGCGTCTTCGTTCGGGGCGGGAGAAGGGGGGAATAAATGGACAAAGACGGGGGCGAAAACTCACAGGTGTGATGCCGCGGGGGCAGATGGGAGAGGAGGAGGACGGGAAGGAGGGATTGAGAGAGAATGATCAAGGCCGGTTTCGATCGAAGCGAATCGACAAAGGAAAGAGCGTCGGGGGGTGGATTGGATTTGGGGGGGGATTACGGGTGTCGAGGTTTTGGGTACGAAGGTAGGATGGTTGCTCGGATAGAGAGGATTTGGATTTGGGAAAGCAAAAAAAAAAAAAAAAAGGCAGTAAAAGGCAAAGGAGAGGACGGACGGACGTACGTGTGGACGGGACGGGGGAGGGAAAGGGAAAGGGAAGGTGTCTGTCTTCTGGTAGTCGCCCTCTGTCTGGTGCTTTGCTTGCTTGGTAAAAGGGTCAAGGCAAGGTGCCAGGTACTACTTTACTAGGGTGAGGTGGGAAGCGACACTGGGTAGGTACCGACAGAAAAAGATAATGGGCAGGGGGAGAGAGCGGAATTGGGATTGCACCTGCGTCTCTCAGTCGTGCTTGGTACTAGGGGCGCTGGGTTTGGATTGGATTGCGGAGCCGTGGGAAGGTTCCCCTAACGTGAAAGGAAAGGTCCTGGACTCCAAGGTTACCTTACGCTCGGGCCACCAGGTGCACCATTGAAGCAAGCAGCGCGCTTCGTACCGTAGCGCGCGCGCGAGAGGAGAGGAGCGAGGCGGATGCGAGACGAATTGCAGCTGGTGCCGACTGGCAAAGTGGTGCCCACCCTAAGGTACGAAGTAACTGAGGTGAGGTGCGGCAGTGTGCGCTGCAATTGTGCAGATGCCCCGAGATGAGGTGCAGGTGCAGTGGCTCGCACCTCAGACGACCCAGACCAGGGTGGACGGGGCACATTGGTCATGTCCCTTTCTCGAGCCGGCGGGGGTGTTCGCTTGACTGGACCGGGGTCTGGTCTCTCTTCTCTCAAATTGTCCCTCGCCCAGCACGAGACGGGTGCCGCACGGACTCGTCCGGTGTTGGCCCAACTCTGGCGGGATTGGCTGGAAGTTGGCCGGAGCGGGCAATCTCCAAAATTGGGTTTCCGCCTAGCAGGCCAGCACCCCGTTTAACAGCCCGGGTATCGCGTACAAGCATCGCAAGACGCGACACCTCTTCCAACTTGAAGCACTTCTTGTTGGTTCTTCAATGACGGCGCGGGCGACCGCGGACGAACTACAACGCCAGAACGGCATTCATCACATCATCATCTGTGGCGAACTCTCCCTTCTCACTTTGCAATACCTAGATACAGACTCTGCGCTACTGCTACCAAGACCCGGCAGCCAGATCTGACTTTGACCCTGCACTGCCGACTTTACTGAATTGATATCCATCTTGCGGATTTCTGCCTCCGGCTCGCCTCGCTGCCGAATCCAACACATGCCGTTGCTATCTGCGGGGGGGTTCGCCCCGTACACGTACAGGCCTCGGGGTATCAATCGATGTCAGCCGTGATTCTCATCAACACGTCCGATCGAACTCACCCACGCTGCTTTCGGCCTCGCTGCTAACCTTTCACCGCGCCAAAGACAAAGAACGGGGGAGTGCCGACGGCCCAGCTGAGTGGTGAATGGCGCAATGCCCAGATGCTCTATACCGGGAATAAGCATATCAGATATGCCGTTCCCTTCTATCGGCCCTTTGGTCCGTCTTGTACTCGTTCGGATACAACCACCATCAAATACCCCATCCAGCCAGCCTTGGCTTGGCCGTCCGGGGAAACAAAATTGCACCCTCCCCTTGATCGTTCCAGCACTGCGATACCTAATGCTGCTGCACAAGCCCCCCTGCCAGGAGGTATGATCGAATACGAACCCACCAACGACCGGCGCTCTACCGAGATCATCGATGTGTGAAGTCAATGATTAAACTCGGAGGTCACGTCAGGCAACGGTGTGGGGGGGCGGGAATAAGCCGCGCCTTGTGATGGTGTTGGGTGATTAACTTCATCGAACTGTTGGATCACACACTGGCAAGGCTGGCAAATCGGGCTGCGATCGCAGTGACACAGACACCTACCTCGTTGCTTGTCAGATGGGAAGTGGGCGGGAGAGTTTTGCCCAGAAGTGCTACCTTTGCGCATGATTCACTAGGAATGGACTTTTCTCAAACTTCACTTCGGCGACCTCGAAGACCCCGTCACTGGACCCACGATCTAACCTCCATCGATGTTGCATCATCCATTTGCTCAGTGATTATGGGATGGCGGAAGGTTTTTCTCAGGTAGGGTGCCAGTCTATTGATGAGGAGACCGCCTAATTTTCCCTTGTTTTTGCGGCTACATTTTCCGTGCAGTTAATTACTTTGATCAAGAACGACAGTAGTAGAGACAACAACGGTAATAATAGCAGTCACTCTAGCAAGGCAAAATTAGGCGGTCTCTTGATGAGGTTCCCCGCCTTCTTTCTTCAAGGACCGCAGACAGCCTTGACGCCAGGATAAGACACCTAAAGTGAAGGTAGGTCGGGCAGGCTGGACCGGCAGCTGACACAATCTTCAATATCACGTGACCGTCTGTTTCGCAGCTGTGCACGGACGCAGAGCCCCTCAGAAACTCGCATAGCGGCCGCACAGGAAATTTGAAAATTCTCGTGTCAATCGACTCTTCCGCAACGCCATCGCAGCGACAGCCAAGTCGATATCTCGCTCGCACCCACACGGCTTGCGTTGCAACTCTCTAAATAGACATCTCCTCGAGAATATCTGTTACCCACAGAGGAGGTTGCCCATCATGGTGAGTCCCGCCTATCCATGTGTTCCAGCCCACCCGCAGCCTAAAATTTCCCGCCCATTTTGACGCTACCCCTCTCTTAATTCCATCACGAGCCGGCGTCTTGCTGTGCGATCGACTATTTGGGGCAACAATACTGATGGTTCTCTATAGCCTCCTCCGCCTCACCAAAAGCCCGAGAATGTCCTGAAGCGGGCTCACGAGCTCATCGGCGTCAAGCAGGCACCGGCCGCCCTGACCCTCCTCCACGAGCACATCACCTCCAAGAGAAGCCGAAATGTTCCTATCGCGTCGCTGGAGCCCGTGATGCTCCTATTGGTCGAGCTCTCCGTCGAGCAGAAGAAGGGAAAGCTGGCCAAGGATGCCCTGTACCAGTACAAGAACATCAGCCAGAACACCAACGTCGCAACGATCGAGGTACGTCGCCACGTCGTCGGAGATAACTTGTGTGCCGGAGGAAACGATTGCTAACAAAGGGCATATACAGCTGGTTCTCAAGAAGTTCATCGAGCTCGCCGCCGAGAAGGTCACCGCCGCCCAACAAAAGGCCGACGAGGTCCAGTCCACCATCGACGCTACTACTTCCACCGCCAACGTCGACGATTTGGAGGCCAGCGAAACCCCGGAATCCATCCTCCTCGCCACCGTCTCCGGCGAGCAGTCCCGCGACCGCACCGACCGTGCCATCGTCACCCCGTGGCTCAAGTTCCTCTGGGAGGCTTACCGTACTGTCCTCGACATCCTCCGCAACAATGCCCGCCTCGAGGTCCTCTACCAGAGCACGGCCATGCAGGCCTTCGACTTCTGCTTGAAGTACACTCGTAAGACCGAGTTCCGCAGACTTTGCGAGCTGCTCCGCAACCACGTCCAGACCGCCGCCAAGTACTCCACGCAGATGCACGCCATCAACTTGAGCGACCCCGACACCCTGCAGCGTCACCTGGAGACTCGTTTCCAGCAGCTGAACGTTGCCGTTGAGCTCGAGCTCTGGCAGGAGGCTTTCCGCTCCGTTGAGGATATCCACACCCTCCTCAACCTCAGCAAGCGCCCTCCCAAGCACATCATGATGGCCAACTACTATGAGAAACTTACCCGTATCTTCCTCGTCGGCGAGAACTACCTCTTCCACGCTGCCGCCTGGTCCCGTTACTACACCCTCCTGCGTCAGTCCGCTGCCCTGGTCTCTACTGGTCAGAGCAAGAAGGCCGACAGCCCGTCTGCCACCGATGCCGACCTCGAGAAGGCCGCCTCCTTCGTGTTGTTGTCCGCCTTGGCCATCCCCGTCATCAGCACCACCCGCTCTCGCGGTGCCATGGTTGACTTTGACGAGTCGAGGAAGAACAAGAACGCCCGCCTTACCCACCTTCTGGGTATGTCTCAGGCCCCTACCCGTGCCGGCCTCTTCCGCGATGCCCACGCCAAGGGCCTGCTGAAGCGCGCTCGTCCCGAGATCCGCGACCTCTACAACATCCTCGAGGTCGACTTCCACCCTCTGTCCATTTGCCAGAAGATCTCTCCCATTCTCACCAAGATCGGCGCCGACGCTGAGATGGAGAAGTACATCCTGCCTCTCCAGCAGGTCATCCTTACCAGACTCTTCCAGCAGCTCTCGCAAGTGTACGAGACCGTCGACCTCAGCTTCGTCGAGCGCCTGGCCGAGTTCCCCGAGCCCTTCCAGGTTACCCGCGGCACCATTGAGAAGTTCATCATGAACGGCAACAAGAAGGGTGACCTGGCCATCCGTATGGACCACGCCACCGGCGTTCTCAGCTTCGACAACGACGTCTTCTCTTCTGCCAAGGCTGCTCACGCCGGCTCTTCCGCCGGT